TAACCGTCTTTCTGGGCACATCGTATAGTTTCTCAACGCCTCGGAAGGATGTAATTTGGCCGGTCTTGTAGGCTTGAACGCCTAGAATAACTCTGCCTTCTTGAAAGATGGCTTCTTGTTGTTGTGGTGCTGCCATTGGGGTGGTTGTTGGACGACGCGTCGCGTGTTGAGTTGGGTGGGCCACTAGCTTGTGCGGGCCACTAACTTGTGGATTACGTTAGCTTTGATGGCAAGCTTATTAATGCAGTTCTTGCCTCAGGCCTCCACGGCTGATGCCTTGGTCTGCAACATAATACACCACAGTTTCCTTTTATATAGGCGTTTCCTATATAAAATTTTAGCCTTACACGCGTACGAGGCGGAGAAGGGGGGTAATGTAATGGGCTGCGCCCTGGTGGGTGCTCCTACGGCTCGACCTCCGTAGCATGGTGCTTGCAGAGCCTCAACGGTGGCTAAGAGGCTAAGGACGGAACCGACCTAGCGTCGTACGAGGACGAGGCTGAGCAGCCCCCTTTTCTCCTCGGGTCTGCCCTGCTGCCCTTCTTCCTTACTATTATTTTTCTGTATATAGGATACAATGCGTACACGTTAGTTGCCTCTTGCACCCTTCACATCCCTATTGCCAGCAATGCGATATACGCGATCGGCCGCCGGATAGCGTAGTTGTGAGGTCTTTACATCAGATATAGGTCTTGCCAGCGATGCGGAACTCGGTCACCTCCACAGCGTTCTTACGGCCTGGATTGATGCTTTTTGGGGCAAGTATGGCGTCATCAGAGGGCGGGACGGCTTGTTGTAGGCCAAGGAGGTTAGTAATTGTTTGTTAAGGGTGTGCAGCAGCGGCCGGGGCTGCTACTCCGTCAGCCATGGTGTTAATAGTTAAAATAGGCGTGCGAATAGCTTTAAAAACAAGGGCAGGCCAGGTAAGAGACTTCGCAGAGGGATCAGGTCAAGAAAACTGGTTGCTAACTAGCTATTTTAGGCTATTGTTGGACAAGATCCCCTTGCATCTGCTGCTAATTCAACGCCTTACGTTCCACCTCATTTCTAACAACGAGCCGAGCCTCAATACCAAATAATATCACAATATTTTAAATTACTATTGGAGCTCCAGGACGCTCCACGGCTTCAAATCCACTCCATCCTGGACCAATCAGAAGCCGGCTCCAGAACCTCTTTTTGGCCGCTCCACTCCGGTTGGCTCCAAATCGCTCCACTCCAACTCCTTCACTGTAGATTTGCAACTTTGGCAGACTCAGAACTATAGACGAAGTCGCGCGCTGGACTGATTATCTTCTGCTTCCTTAAGAATGCTAGCCACGTCTGCGTCGTTACACTTCTCTGCCCAGAAGCGTGGTGTTTTCCCTTTGCTATCCAACTTCAAAGGATCAGCTCCTTGCTCTAACAAGTATTTGACAATGTTCTTGTTGCCAAACTCCGCGGCTCGATGAAGTGCTGTCCCTAGGCCAAATGGCTCACGCTCCCAATACACCATTGGTTCCTTTTCATATTTAACTTCATTGATCGGTGCACCTCGCTGAATGACCCGACGAACCACGTCTAGAGCATCGGGTTTCTCCCTAAGAACGGCGCAATGGAGTAGCTGGCCATAGTGAGCGTCTCCTCCTCGAGAGAACACATAGTCTATAAGATCCAGAGGAGCCAGGTACATAGCTAGAGACATGGGGGTGAAGTCCCACGCGCAACGGGCATTGGGATCAGCACCATGGTTAAGAAGCCACTCAACCATTTCTCTGTCTGCGGTACATAGAGGTATGCTTAGAAACTGTTAGCGGAGTTATAGATTGTAGTTAAGAACAAGCGTACCTCAACAAGGGGGGTTCGTTCCGGCCCTGCGGTCGGTTTATATCCCATCCATACTGAAGGAATAACTCCAAGACTTCCCACCCTCGCCCACGCACAGCAGCCTCAGCTACAGAATGTGGGTCCGCAACATTCTCATCAAGCAAGAATTGCACCATTTCGATATTTGGTTTTTGCATGGCTATGAGAAGCGATTGGGCCAACCATTTTGGTTGGGGCGGTTGTGGCTCAGGAGGCCGAGGGTCATGTAGGAGCCGCTGAACTTGCTTTTTGACTTCCTCGAGATCTCCCTTGCAAGCGGCCTGATAACATAGATCAACTTCGTCAGGCCTAAAAAAGGGGGGTCCATCCTCCATCGACGGTAGTGTCTGCATATACGGTGGTGTGATTACTCGAAAGGGGGTGTACGATGACTCGTTAGGGGTGTACGATTATCTGTCCCCATTCTATAAGAGCGTTGTAATGTTATTTAATTTTGTTAAAAAAAAAAGGCGGTGTGCATAAGTTGGTGAGCGTGCACGAGTTGGTGATCACTTCTAGCGCTAAGGATGCGCTAGTATAGTAGCATGTGGACGGCTGCCAAGGACTGCTTTGTTCAGAGGAGGGGCGCGAACTCGGAGCAAGGTTGGCGTCGCAGCTAAATATCGTCCTTAGTATCCCAAGGAAAACTGCCACCAATACAAGCCCATTCCTCTGCATCCCCTCTTCCTCCCAAGCGTGTATCCCCTCTTCCTCAGTATTTCCTGTAGTTGTGGTCATTCCCTGGGTTGTAGCCCTAATATGTGTCTAGTGCGCCTGCTGCGCCTGCTAGGTGGTATGCCTTTGTATAAGATATACTCAGGTTGAAATTGATGTGAACTCTGATTTCTATAGACGTCTAGCTAGTTGTATATATACTAGAGGAAGGAAGGGGGACACCCCCAGGGTGGCGCGCTAGTAAGTTCAGATGAGCCCTGCACAGCTGAGGCTTCAGCTCGGTTCTCTACAGCTGAGATTTCAGCTGGGTTCTCTACAGCTGATGTTCGGAGAGTAGCTTTCTGGCATATGAGTTGTTGATCCTAGGTTGTAGTGTTGCAACCTGAGTGATATAGATAATCCGATACATCTACAAGGACGCCTGCTGGCTAATTACCTAGGGACAGCCAGTTCCTCTACGCAGCGTAGAGTGCAAGATCCACTAAGACTGCGGTGTGTTGTTTTGCAGGCCGTAGCATGAACATTGATAGAACGCGACATTATGTACATGGAAGCGTGGCAGCCAGTAATACGTTTCTATTCACTCCTCTCGGCTTGCAATGTACAGCTGAAGACTCAGCTCGCTCGAACTCAGCTGAATGCTCAGCTCGCCTGTTGTTTGCCACCGTTGCCACCTGCAACCCCTATTCTTTCTTCACTATATAGCCACTTGTTAGCACAATACAACTCATGCTTTCCTCACTGATCCTTTGCCCTTCCTACGCCAGCTGCCAAAGCGCCCTGTTTGCTACTAGCATTGATTGCTGTAGGTGATTGTCATAATCCAACAGCCCCCCTCAAGCATATACAGGAAGGAATGATGGTAGGAAACAGTGTGAAAGCATCGTGAAGCTGATGGTGATAAGGGCTGTGTCGGGTGTCGTGCAGCAAGGAGCGTCGTGGATGAATTAATGGCGCATCCGTAAATGATAGCTGAAAGGAGTGGCATTCTATGGTGGACGATAGAAGCAGCATGCGATGGCTGAGAGAAGCGGCATCCTGTGGTGATGATGGATGAGAGAAGCGTCCGATGGCGATAGCTGATATCCTGTGATGATGGCTCACATCCTGCACTGATGGCATATCCTGTGTTGATGGCTGACGATTGCATCAAAGGAAGGTATCTAGGAATGCATCTAGGAAAGCTTCGATGATGATGGACAGGAATGGACAGCCGGAGAGGGCTTCCCTCTCTGGTAGAACGGCCACGCGGCGTGCGCCCTTTCTCAGGTTGTGAAGAAGCAGTTCTGTGTTGATTTGAAGAGGCATAAGGCCCGTATATATAGCCTATGAAAGGGGGGGGTACTCCCCTGTTCCCCCTTGTTACGGATATGGAAGGATGTAACGCCACTGACACGCTAGTAGTGGCAACCTGAGTCCCTTGGCGCTCTACATCTACAAAATGAAAGAACCAACCAACCAACCACAAGCAAACCGAACCCATCGCCACAATCACGCCGCCGCGGCATACTCCACCGGCGACGTCCATCGCGTGACATCGCTAATTGAGGGGATACACGCTTGGGAGGAAGCGGGGATACAGGAGGAGTGGGCTTGTATTGGTGGCAGTTTTCCTTAGGATACTAAGGACGATATTTAGCTGCGACGCCAACCTTGCTCCGAGTTCGCGCCCCTCCTCTGAACAAAGCAGTCCTTCTAACACCGTGCCATCATGCAGTTAAAACACCCAGGCGTGGTCCGGCCCGTCTACCGAATCGAAGAGTTCACCGCCCCAGAAGAAGGCGTCGAGTAGGCAAATCCGTCTCAGCCTTACGGCAGGATTCTGACGGCCTGTGGTGTAGTCATTGTGCCCGGCGTGTGGGTTGACTATCCCAACCATCAACTTCGCCATGCATGCGCATGGATCAAGCCTCTCGTGGCTGCCACCACCAACGATACGAGAGTTTTCATGTTCTCACATTAGCTAGAGATAGACGGCACTTCGCTGTGGAAACGGCTGCTTGCGCAGAGCTCTGCTCTTCTTGACGGGCTGGAGCAGTATCGGAGGGAAGATGGCGTATGATTTACTTGTCTAAGAGCCATGACTTCGCTAACGCCATGCTACCCTTTGTAGTACGAACAGAGACCGTTGCTTTTCATATGCCATAGTCTCGGTGGACTTGTTGTCAAGCGGGTATGACCCAGTCGCATGGCCGTATAGAGCTGTTCGCTCACACTTCAAGGCTTTGTCTTCGGCTTACCAATATCAACGCATCTACGAAGACGTGACTGCCGGAATCATATTCCTGGGCACGCCTCATTTAGCAGCGGAACGGGATGAGAAATGGAACTTGTTCAAGCTGATAATGCGCGCTAATAGGAAGGACATTGCGAAAGAAAACATGACACAGGACGAGATTGCAAGCATAGCTACCGTGTGTCGGCGTTTCGCGGCACTTCCTTTGAACATTCCAATTCTATCTGTATATGAAGATAAGGAAAGCAAAGTACGGGAGAATCTACTTCAAGCCTGGCGGTCCAGCTCGAAAACGTCTATAAGGGTAGATTCACCTTGTACTTCCATATGACCCAAAATGATACTGACTTCAAAAGCTTGTGCCAGAGAGCCTAGCAGCAACAAACCACCGAAACGAGTCCCTATTCAAGGTTGACTCCAACCATTGGGAACTTTGTCATCTTGAAGTAGATGGCCCGCTATTTGAGAGGCTAGCCAAGTATTTCAGAGCCTTTTCAGAGAACGCGCCTGCCAATGTTGCGGTTGCCTTTCGTTAGTTATCCATCAACGGCCCAAGCAATTTCAAATTGCGCGCCAAAAGCAGCGTAAGCTCGTTTCAGCCTGACAAGCTGCCACCAAAACAAAGCACAGAGTTACGGCAGTCGAGCGCAGTAGAACATACCCCTGGGAGCGCATCTAGCACCGATCAGACGACAGTTGGTCGCGAAGAGTCTGATATCAACAGGGAAGATCACGTGCAAGTCAAGACAGGCGTACAACTTCCATTCTCGCACGTTGCGGCTATCACAAGAAATCCGGAGTTCTTCGGTAGAGAAGAAGTGTTAGTCGAAATTGATAGACATCTGCTATCAGACGTGAACGGCAAGTCTGGCGTTGACAGCAAGAACGGACCGCTGGCGACTCCAAAGTCATTCGTGATGTCTGGGATGGGCGGCATGGGCAAAACCGAGATCGCAATCGAGTATACCTTTTCGAGACGACAGAATTTTGACGCTGTGTTTTGGGTCACTGCGGATACGACACGGAAGCTCGCCGACCAGTTCCTAGCAATCGCCAAGGAACTAGGCCTAGACAGAGACGGTGACAACAAACTGGATGAGATAGCCGCGCGAGAGAAGGTGAAAGCGTGGCTAGCCGACCCTACAGGCTACTATCCCCGAGAGGATAGCTTCAAAGACGCTCCTATCAGCTGGTTCTTTGTATTGGACAATGCTGACGACCCAGATGTGTTGTATGACTGGATTCCGACACACGGGCCGGGTTCTGTCCTGGTCACAAGCCGTTACCCATACCTGAAAGAGAGCTCCTACAGCTTGAATAAGGGGTTGGAACTGGTTTCACTCGATGTGGGCATCGCTGCTGCCATGCTCCGTAAACTCTCAAAACGTGAGACTGTCATTGATACAAACGCAGCTAGCAATCGCATCGCCGAACTTCTAGGCGGACTGCCTCTTGCGATTTCACAAATGAGCGCCGTTATTCGCCGAAAACACCTTTCCTTGTTGGAATTTGAACAGTACTACCCCGACAATTCAAAGAACCTACATAGCACGCGGATCAACGGCGCGATGGGTAACTACCAGCATACTGTTTGGACGACATGGGCCGTGGAGCAATTGTCCCCAGCGACCTTGGCACTCTTGAACATTTTATCAGTCTTAGACCCAGATTGCATTCCCGAAAAAGTTCTCACCAAAAGCGCAAAAGACGTGTCGCTCAAAGACTATCCCTCAACGAAAGGGAAATACTTCGAGGCTCGCGCCGAACTCATCCATTCATCACTGGTTGTACGGAATATGGCCACGAATGAATTACGCATTCATCGCCTTGTGCAAGACGTGGTGAAGCAGCGACTCAGTCAAGACCAGCTACACGATATGTTTGCCAATGCTGCCATTCTGCTATCCGGCGTGTGGCCATACGTCTCCCCAACGGATCCTACGCGGAACTAATCCTAGCGATACCGGGTCGGTGAGAGATACACGGCACACATATCTCGATTAGAATCACTATTTGGCCCAGAGATTCGCGAGAAGAAGTATGACGGCACACCAACAAGCGGCAAATTGTTCTCTAGTTACGCCTGGTAAGCCGTGCTGTTCATTAGTGTGGAGTGCTCAGCTTAACACTAGTCATTAGGTACTCTTACGAACTCGGCCTGTTCCGCCTCAGCATAAACTTCGCGTCACTTGCTCGACTTATCCTCTCTGTGGCTAAAGACTCGAACACTGGCTCCGAGCGCGAAGTCACTGCTTGGCTCTGCGATGCGTATGCCATACTATCCGTCGCCTGCACAATGACAAACACCAGTGATAGTATGTCCGAGGCAAGAGCCTGGATTGCGCTGCTCCTAGAACGGATCGAAAAGTGGCACCTACCCTACGACGCAGGAGTATTGGCCTCGGCATATAACCAAGTTGCTGTAAGTCACATGAAAAGGGGGGAAACAGAAGAAGCAATAGGGAGCTGGAGACAGAGCTTCGAGGCGTTCAAGAACCAAGAAGATAAGCCACAATTTAGCGAAACCTGGCCGGCGGTGAACGTGGCGTTGGTGAGTGTTTTCGTGGGTCGGGTGGATGAAGCGGTGGAGATTTTGACGCCGGTCATGGAAGAACACGAAAATGTCTTCGGTAAAGAGGATAAAACCACTATCGAGTAAGTTTCCGAGTTTACTGCTCTATCTGAACTGAATTATCACTCTATTTTACTAAAGCTCATCGCAGGAGCGGCGAGATATGGCGTGCAATGGGCAACATCAAATTTTCCCAAGCCCAGTACAACGACGCGCTAGAGTACCACAAGCTTGCTGTCACGAATCTGAAAGCTGTTCTCGGTAACAAGCATAAGTTTACGGCCGATGCTGTTTATGCGCTTGCAAAGGACTATATTGTCCACGACGAAAAGGCCAAAGCGGCCGCTGCACTTGAAGATGCTATATCGGCATACATTAACATCACCTACCAGAAACCCCAGATTGCGCGAGTGTTCTGGAAGAAGGGGGTGCTCATGAAAGGCTCGGGGAACAATTTGGAGGGAGATACGCTTTTGGAAAAAGCGATGCAGCTTCGGAAAGAGTTTGCCCCAGAGGATCGGCGCCCGGTGGAGGAGTTGGCGGATAAAGACTGGGACGAGTTAGTCTTTTACTGGTCACGGTAAGACAGTGAGACCTATTTCACGAGACGGAAAGCATCGGAAAATTGAGCGCTTCTTGTTGTTGGGAGAACTGCACAGCCTATTACTAAATTTGTAAACTACAATTCCCTACGAAGATTTGCTAAGTCCATTCCCTTCACTAATTGTGTATTTTTCTGGCCTTCAGTTTTTTCGATTTAAGAACTTGGTTGATTAGATGTTTAAGCAGACCTTTAGTTTCCAAAACACGGGTACTAGTGAACAGTGCCGCTGATAGAGAGCAGGAGGGAAAGAAAACGGCTGTGAGCACTACTATTTAAGAGGGGAACTAGTAATCACACACCCCCTTTTCAGTAAACGCACACCCCCGCCTCCTCCCGTCCGATCTCCTAATTGGCTGGACTGGCCGGGCCGACTCTCGGAGCTTCCTCTTAAGTGAATAGGTAAGCGAGCGCAGACGGCGATGCAGACAGTGATGCAGGCGGGCCAGGCTTAATGGAAAGGGGCCTCTATAAGGTAAGGTTTTGACAGTTTCAGCATCCTTCTAGGCACGGAGGCACGGCAGGTTGCAATATAATAAAACAGAGAGGCTATATATGCAGCTATACATATAGCCTCTTATATACAGCATTATATACAGCCTTATATACGGCCTCTCTTGTATAGCTAAATATACGGCGGTGTAAATTAGAAAGGAGATTTACGTGCGGATGCGCGTAAGAATAGAGCTCCGGACGAAATTCCGCGCCGCTCTAACCAATTAGGAGATCAGACGAGAGGGGGGTGTGGGTTTACTAAAACGGGGGTGTGTGATTACTATTTGGACGAGCTTAATTAGGACAAGACTACTCATAACCCCCCCTAGATTTAGCCTAGCTCCGGCCCGTCTTAATATTGTTCCACCAATCATATTCACTCTTAGCTAAAACTCGATGCGGAATATACATCAACTGCGCACTCGTAATGCATCAACACCACGTCCTCTACATCACCACCCTCACCACCATGCCCCTCCGGCCGCCCCCTAGGGCCGCCACGCGTCCGTAGAGGAAGAGGACCAGGCACGTGGAGGAACATCGCATCTCCGGCGAGCTCGTAAGACTACTGCTCGTGCAGATTGCGACACCGGCTAGCTAAATTACTATGGCAGGTGTCTCTACAGGCACGCCGGCGGTCGAGCGGACTATTGTAGTATTCAACAATTCTATGCAGTTCACATATACAGCACCAGACCTCTCCGCCGGATAAGCAGGCACTCTAACAGCGACCCAGGGCTCTATTTCCTTAGTCCCTGACAGTTAAACAGCGCTTGAGGATGGCCCTCTGTCTACTCCTGAGGAGGAGGCTGTTCGTGGTAAAGGAGAATTTTTAGGTGTAAGACCTTGGTACCATAGTGTATACGGCGTTCCTTTTAATCAGCAATTAAGAGGCGGCTATCTAGGCGCTTTCCGCTTCTAGACTAGCTAGAGTAGATAGAGTAAATAGACTGTTGTTGTTGTATATTATTATTATTATTATTATTATTATTATTATTAGGTTCTATTAGGCCGGTTTAGCTCCCGTTAGGGTCCATGCGGCAGTGCTATCTAGGTTTTATTTACAAGGGGAAACCGTTCGCTCTATAGCGGTCGGGTGAAAACCTTGTTTTCTACAGTGTATAACGCCTTGCGTTCCTTTTTGTTTCTACGCGGCTGTGGGGGACGCGTGGCAGCTCTGTAAGCATCACCACGGAGTAAGCCATCTTGATGCATTCTCCAGGATCGATCCGGTGTCCGTAGGGCCTAGGTTCCAGGGTCGTACGGTGTCCAGATTGTTGGTAAGGTCCGGGGTCCGCGTTAGGGCACGCGTGCTATTACTGTACACGCGTGCCCTTTTCTCAAAAGCAGAGACACTGAATTGAAGGACAATAGGAAATTGGGGGGGGGGGGGGGGTTGCCCTGTTGCGGGCGTACCTGGGGGCTATGCAATGTGCATGCGTGTATGCGTGCAGGCGTGCAGACGTGGGGCAGGTATCGTATGTGGCCGTGCCTTAAGGGGGGGGATAGGGATGAACGATTTGGGCTTATTCTGTTCTTAGGGCGTGGCTATACAAGTCGGCTGGGCTGTATAGCCAGCTTTTCCGTTGCCATCTCTCTAGCCATAGAGAGGTAGGGTAGGAGGTCTGTCTGGTGCAGGAACCATTGCGAAACGGCCTTATTTCCCTTGTGGTCTTTGTACAGCTGCATGTACGTCCTTGTTCTGGCCTTAAAAAACATATCGCCTCTGCCGTTGCGGTGTCGTTCGCAGTGCATTACTACGTGCTTTGGGGACTGTAGTATATGCCCACAGGGGCACGCGGGCGTAGGGTGATTGGGCACCCTCATGCGGTGCAGGTATGCATTGAGCCCTATGTGTTCCGTTCGTAGGAGCGTAATAATCGAGCTCTCGGCTTTGGTGAGCTTGTGGTGTTTAGCTGCCTGACTCTTATTCCGCTTCGTGTTGAGGGCCGGCGTAGGGGGGCCCCTTCGTTTCTTCCTGTAGGCCTCCCATTCGTCCCTCCACCTTTCCTCGTACGCTTCCTGTATTGCTCCTCGTCGTGAGAGCTTGTACGAATCGTCTAACTGCCCTTCGTGCCTCGGGGCTAGTGCTGTGGCCTTGACCGCGAGCCTCTTCAGTACGTCGCGCCGGCTCGGCTCGTATTTAGGCGTTTTCCTAGGCTTATAGTGTCTCCTAATGGTGTCTCTGATAGTGGGGCACGTGGTCTCAATGTGCTCTCTAGCTTGGCCCACGCGCGTGCGGTCGTTGTTGTTGTATATATATACATCCTATCCGATTCGTGTATACATCCTTTCTGATTTGTATAGCTTTGCCGTTTAACGCATCTAATAAGCGAGTGAATATAATTGGTGGAACAATATTAATACGGGCCGGAGCTAGGCTAAATCTAAGTGGGCTTATATGCAGCAAAAAGGGGGTTATGAGTAGTCTTGTCCTTAATAAACCCCCTACCTATAATTCCGCGGGGATAGAGAGCTACTAGCCGTATCCTAGATATCTATAGTAAGGTATATTAGGATCAAAGGCCGGCCCGGAGCTTATCGGACGTGTTGAATAAGGGGGTGCCACTGGTCACGTGTAACGTCTCCATAATTCATATGGCTAGCCACCGCTTTTGCAAGGCTCAGGAAGAAAAGCCTATACGCGGTGAGTCCAACAGGCACACTTTTATAACGTTGGATCGAGTATTCTTGGATGCTTTGAAAGATAGACCCGGAGTATCTTGAGTGGGTACTTAGCGCGAAAGATCGTCTTACGACTAACTCCGCCCAAAGCGCCTCAAATACCAGGCGTTTGAGTCTGGCGGCCTTTTGCTATATCGCCTGTGAATGAATTCAGTGCCAAAGAAGCTGTTCAAGACCTCTCGTGAAGTGACCGTTCAATCGAAGCTTCCGCATCGGAATATCCAGCCTCTAATTGAAGTGAAAGCGACCGAAAGATCCATGGATCTTGTTATGGAGTACCCTTCCGGTGGTGAGCTGGGTATGGAGAACTTTCGGGGACATGTTTAAGAAGCATCGGCTAAAGCAGTTGGCAGACCAACTCGGAACAATGGGCGAGAATGCGTTGTGGTAGATTGGTGGTTGGGGAAATTCTAGCAGAGCAGCACTAAAAGAACGACTCCGATCTTGAAAGGGCCATTATAAGGCTGAGACATGTGAACCAATGCATATCAGTGGTTGAGAGCTAAGCATTAGTGGACGCTGCCTTTTCCAGAGAGGGCTTGCTAGTAAGCGAATTGAGAGAGAGAAGAAGCGAGTGCATCGACGAGGTAGCTGCTCGAAGAGATAGGCTCTACTTGCTAGATTCAAAACAAGATGCGTAAAGACGGGCATTTGCAGTGCATTTGGGGGGAAATGGAGTCGTCCTGGGTTATGACAGTACCGTTACGCTCGACATCTTCTTGGATCTCTTAATTAGTCTATGTCAGAGGCTGAAATCTTGCTACCAGTGTCTTCGGCACTCATGAGAGGAAACAGTGATTCAGTACTAACCAAATGAGGTAGTCTGCTGGAGAATGATATACGGTATGAGGATAGCTCTGAAACATACATTTTTGAGGAAGATGTTGAGATTGTCGCACGATTTTCATTCCTCCGGAGGGTGGTCTAACTTTTTTGGATTTGTGATTATTCTAGAAACAGATTGGGATTTGCGGTGGGCAAGTGGGTAGGTCGTTGAATTACACTATTTAATCCATCTCCTCTTCATTCGGCTTGGCGTTGTCATGAATCGCAGTCCGTTACAGATGCGGAACTCCGAGCTTGTTGAAGACGAGATTTACCATACTTCAGACGCCTTGGCCCAAGATCATTCCACTGGCAACACACATCATTGTGAAATGACTGATTGAGGTCTTGCGTCGAAGAATGCAGAAGACGAGGCTACCTAAAACCCGCGGAAGAGTCAAGGCCGGAGGAATGTACATGCCTAGAAAGAATTATCAGCGTTTTACATCCCCTAAGACCGAACATCCTGGCATTTACCAACAGTTACAGCAATGCCGGAGGGTATGAAGTCTTGCCGCCACGTGTCTTCGCCAACGATACGAAGAATCCCGGATATAGCTCCCACCAGGGTAGTTGCGAGGGCAAAATTGAATACCTGAGGAGGTAGTCCGCGTTTGTAGATAAGTTTTGCTGTAATAAGCCACATGTGCCCGTCGGGAATTGCGTACTCGTCACCGGGGAAGTTTTTCGCCGAGGTGTAAAGCCGATATAGAAGTGTGGCCACAATTGCGCCAGAAAGCGAGCCGATGACTTGACCGTAAAAAACAGCTCTTGGTGGAGTTCTGGTCATATGAGCTGTCTTCGACCAAGCCATGTGTTGCGATGCCTGCCACGCTCCGGCTTCAACGACACCGCCCATAGCTATGTTATACATTATATGACCAGAGACTGAGGGTGGAATAAACAGCCTCAAGATGCACTGAGCGGTCCGGCCTGTAACTTTTAGTGAGAGGGTATTTTAGTTGTCGTGAATACTCACTAATGGCGACAAGCCCAGCGCTGTCTACCTGCCCGAAACATCGCATCGAAATGAAGCTCGCGGGAAGTACTATAATCATAACAACGACTATTGCCAATATCGGGAGGGCGCGGGGAAATATACGGTACAATGAGACTGCACAGACGATAAATATCAAAGGGTACAAGCAGCTCGTTAATAAGGCTGTGTTGCGGCTTTTCTGAGGCCACACGTCATCTCTGCTAGGCTTCTGGTTACCAGTACTGTTTTCATCGGTCGTAGAATGTACTAGCTGAAGGAGCGGTGTTCTTTCGTTGGGTAGGCCATTGGAGAAGTGTTTCGCAGATAGCCAGACACGGCATCGAAGTATGCTTGAAAATATAGGCTTGGAGACGAGCCAGCCTAGCCCTACCGCCGAGTCGCCAAGTATAAACCCTATTCCGATCCAGAGAATCCATCCTTGGGAGCCCGTGTTCCAGTCTCGAACAGGACCAGGTGCCCATCCTTTATGATAGGCAATTGGTGAGAGGATAGCCCAGCCAAAGATGCAGCCAATCAAAATGGCAACATTGATAGCTGGTTTGATGATCATGCCGAATCCAAAGTAAGCAGGTGACAGGTTGAAGCTCCAAGCCCAGTTATCTGCTAAACTTTGTCCGAACACTGGTAAATTCGTCATTATCGGAATGAAATAAGACAACAGCGTCTGTTGAAGTCAGTCGTAATCAGCTAGCTTGAATAGTTAAAAAGTGCAATGGAACATACAAAAAGCGAAGAGCCAGTGAACGCGGTCATCATTGCCCTTATTCCAATGGATTGGTCAAAGTTGGCGTATTCATCAGCTTTGCTGGCGTCTTCGCTAACATCCACGCGAGGTCTATTGTGGTCCGGGACGTGGGAATCGATTTCATCTTCGACTCGGCCTCCTGGCCCATCCTCGAACTGATTTTCGCTTGCGTCTAGGTTCGCGAGGGTGCCTGCTTGAGGATCGCTTGCTCTTGCGGTGATGGACTTGTCACCGAACAAGACTCCGATGAGCAATCCAGTAGCAGTAGCAGAGGGGAATTGAAGCTTTTGTTGCAGCAAGAGAAGCCTCCTAAAGGGTGCAGCCGCGACTGGCAGCTGGATGCACCCCCTAGTGCGTAAGAACTAGTGTATTTGATACTGTACTAGAACGCTACTGCTACGCTGCTGCTACGCTCCTGTCACTTCTCCTTGTTTCACCATGTTCCACTCCTACCGTCTTCCAACTATATAGCCACTCGCTAGAACCTCAATACAACTCATGTCTCCCTCACTGATTCTCCCTTCCTACGCCAGCTACCAGTTATGAGCCCGGAATAACGCACGCCGTTCCACATCACTATCCTCCTACGTACATCTATATATACGTTTCCAACGTTTCCAACGAACATTTCCTGGCTAGGAACACGCAATTCATCAGTATATCGATAATCGTTCATTCGAATAGCTGTCGATATGGAGTCATCATCAATCAAGCTATTATCTACAACTCAGGTCATCTTATCATCCGGACCTGATTGGAAGCTATGGATCAATCAAATCCGAACCCTTGCGGAATGCCATCAAATCTGGGAATATATCGATCCGGATTCCGAAAACAGGCCTACAAAGAAAGCGCCTACCGAGCCAACAATCCAAATGGTGAAAGAAAATGCGCCAGCAGATGCCAGCATCACCATCCTCAACGACGACGAATACAAGACGTACGAACGATTGACAAAACAATACACTATCAATGAAAAAGCGCACAACAAGCACGCCACTGCCCTCTACGCGATCCAGACAAAAATCAACGAATCCGTAGTCGTTGCACTACAATACTACTACACCGGAAAACCCGTATGCGAATGGCTGCAAATCCTTAGGAACGCTATTGCCCCATCAGATCAAAATCGGAAACTACGAGTCGCTGCGCAGTACAACAGGCTACTATCACCACCAAGGAATCAGAACATCGACGTTTGGATGGCTAGTTTCTTACTAGCTTACAACGCTGCCAAGGAAGAGAACCTACCTGATGTCTCTGGAGACCGAGCAGTGCACAACTTCCTACACGTAGTATCTACGTTGCAGCCCGAATTCACAACCTACTGGAAACAGAAGGTCCAGAATGCGTTGGCTAAGAATAAACCACTGCCCACGGTTGAACAACTACACGGAGCCCTGCGCAACGATCGTGACGAGAACGCAATCCAACGAGGAAAGGCCCCATTCACGGCATTAGCAGCATTCAACACAACGTTCCAAGGAAAATCTCAACAAGATGCATCATCAACATCTACAACAATCCGTGATCGCGAGGTGCCGATGTGCGTATGCAGGAAACGACATTTCTATAGTAGATGCTACTATCTAAACCCAACAATCAAGCCCTCGTATTTCAAGCTGGTGCCAGAAATGGAACGAGAAATCCAACAGAAACTAGCCACAAACGAACGGCTACGAACAACCGTACAAAACGCCATCAAGAAGGGCAGTAGCCCTGGCGGACAGCCAGCTACGTTTCCAGCTACGTTTCCAGCTACGGATCCAGCCACGGATTCCGCCACTACTACGGCTACGGGCCAGAGATTCTCAGGTGCTATCACAAAAGGATCCTACAACGTGTCACAGGAATATCATCTACGTGATAGCGTTGTACTCGATTCGGGCACTACCGTGCACGTGATAAACGATGCATCACGATTCATCTCACCAATTCGTCCGCCACCAAAAGGGGACTTCCTATTCGCAGGAGGAACGCGCCAGCCAATTCTAGGATACGGATCTGCACTTGTTCATTGTACAAACAATGCTGAACTAACCCTAATTGAGGCTGCCTACTGCCCGGCAATGCAGACGTCTCTTGTAAGCGTCAAAATGCTGAAAAATCGAGGAATCTACTGGTCCAGCGAACACGACAAGTTATACAAGAAAAACGGAAACAACATCATCTTCCTGGCGCACGCCATAATGATTCATGACCAATGGGTTCTTGAATACGTGCCACCAGCCCAGCACGCCGCATTTCCAACTACGGGCATCACTACGGCCCTGGAAACGGCCCTTCCTACGGGCATCACTACGGCCCCGGAAACGGGCATCACTACGGCCCCGGAAACGGCCATCACTACGGCCCCGGAAACGGCCATCAGCACGGCTCCAAATCGCATCAATCGTCGATCGGCCAAGCAATCAGATAGTACAACAGACGGAATCACCTGGCACCTACGGCTAGGGCATCCAGGTCCAGAAGCTATGGAGGCCCTAGGAACATCAACGGACGGAGCAATTCTTCGAGGTCCAACAACTGTGGAATGCGAAGCTTGCGCAGTATCAAAAGCTACAAAAGTAACATCACGGCGACCTGTCACACGCGCGGAACGTCCGTTTGAACGAATTCACATCGATTTCGTGCATATGACAGTAGCATACAACGAGAACCGGTACAGTGCGCATTTCCTATGCGATCGAACCCGGATGACCTACGTAGATAACTGTACTACTAAGGACGAATTTCCCCGGCTAGTTATTCGATTTGTGAACTGGGTTAAATGCCGTTATCCTGGATGCCGCATCCAGTTCATCAAAACAGACAATGAATCGTCACTTTCTACAATTGACAGTACTAGGCCCTTGGCCCAATTCCTATTAGATGAGGGAATCACCGTGGAATCGTCACCACCGCATAATGCAGCACCAAACGGCGCAGCAGAACAATCAGGATACCGGATTGTAACAAAGGCCAGGACCGCCTGTATACAGTCTAAACTGCCGGAATCACTATGGCCAGAAACGTTCAAATTCGCTGCCTACGCGATGAACAGGACCCCTAACAAACAGTTCAACTGGGCATCACCGTTCGAAGAACTACAACGGTGCCTGGGGTTTCCTAGGCCAGCAAAACCGAACATCTCGCATCTACGCGCGTACGGATGCAGGGCCTATCCATTGATTCCTAATATTCCAAAATTGGAAAAAATGCAGCCCCGTGCGCACGTAGGATACCTTGTAGGCTATGAAGCTACGAATATCTATCGCATCTGGATTCCAAGTGAACAAAAAGTTGTACGAACAACAGATGTTACATTTAACGAGAAGGTATTCTACGAGCCACGAACACTAGATCTATCTGCTAGGCTACGCCAGCCAGTGGAAGAAATCCTGGAGTGTATTATAGTACAGCCCAAGCCCCAGTCACTAGCCACTAGCCAGTGAGCTAGTAGAAATCGATGAGGAAGAAACCAATACGGAAGAATCCGACCCTCTCCTCGAAATTATCAACGTACGGCCCCGTACGTCCAGCACGACGAGCACGCCTAGTACGTCAGATCCAGGTTCAGATGGAGAACCTACACGGGAATCAACTACACGAGAAACTACGGTTGATCCGTATATTACCCCGGATCCTACCACGGATTCTACCACGGATTCTGCCCCGGATTCTGCCCTAAACACGGCCCTAGATCTAGCCCCAGATACGGCCACGGCACCCCGTTCTCGTAGGGAACAAACAGCAGTAAACTACAACATCAATCAACTGTCCTACGCATCAGCAAATCCAAATCGCGTACGGGGCAGGAACAACAACGCGGCGATGAATGCAATGCACGCATTACTACAAGAACCACACGGGTTCTTTCACGCCGCATTCCATGCCACTAGCAAGCAACAGAGCCAGCTACACCGTGATGAGATTCCACCTCCGCCACGATTTTGGAAGGATCTAGGAAGCCACAAATACGGAAAGGAATTCGAGCTAGCAGCCGCGGCCGAATATACAACCCTAGTGAATCGCAATACGTTCGAATATACGGATAGAAATACAGTTCCAATCTCAAATCGTCCAATTCCACTAATGTGGGTTTTTTCGTACAAATTCGACAATAACGGATTCCTCAATACGTTCAAAGCACGCCTAGTTGTTAGGGGCGATCTACAAGCTGCGAGCGAAAAGGATACGTACGCGGTAACACTGGCAGCACGTGCATTCCGATGCGTAATGGCCCTAGTTGCGGCATTCGATCTAGATACCTGGCAAGCAGATGCTTCCTCAGCATTTACAAATAGCCACCTAGATGAAATTGTATACGTAGATTGCCCGGAAGGATTTGTACGGCCAGGGCAATGTCTCCTACTGCTACGGGCACTCTATGGCCTACGGCGTTCACCAGTTCTCTGGTTCAACCATCTCACAACGACCCTCACGAAATTCGGGCTGCATCAGGTTCCAGACGAAGACTGCCTCTGGGCATCAGACGAACTAGTAGTGTTCTTCTACGTTGATGACATCGTGGCATGCGCACGGAAAGAGAACAGCCAGAAACTCCAGGAACTACGGGCCTATCTACTGGCTACGTACGAGATGAAGGAATTCCATGATTTAGAATGGTTCCTAGGAATCCGTATTATACGGGACCGAGAGAATCGAAAGCTATGGCTGTGCCAGGACTCCCAAATTTCCAAAATCGCAACCCAGCATAATCTAGATACGTATAGAAACGTATACACGCCACTAGCTACTACAAGACTAGTTCCGAATAGAGAACAAGCAACAACTGGAGAAATACACCGATACCAACGGAAAATCGGATCCGTAGGACATCCGTCCGTGATGACACGGCCTGACGTTTCATTTGCAGTTTCTCAACTAGCAAAATTCCTCACAAACCCAGCCCCGGAACACGAACAGGCGGCAGATCAGTTAATTGCCTATCTATTCCAAACGAGATACCTAGCAATTGAATACAGTAGCACAAACGGCACGGGTACGGGCCCGGAAACACCAGCGATTGTACGAGCAAGCGATGCATCATTTGCCGATGACCCTGAAACAAGACATTCCTCAGAGGGATACGTTTTCAAACTATTCGGCGGGCCTATTGACTGGAAAGCAACACGGCAGAAATCCGTCACTAAATCGTCCACGGAAGCCGAGC